AAAAAAAAAGACTTCCAGTGCGTATCTTAGGAGTTTCACTCACAACCGTGGAAAAACCTTACATCCATGATGAATGAATTTTCAGACTAGTGTTGGAAAAAATGAACCAATGTTGTCTTAGCTTCGATTTGGTATGAATTTGGGTTTTGGACTATGAGTAAAGCGATGTCGGGTGCATCGGTCCGACACTGCACAAAACGGGCCGGGACCCTCCCGACCACGTCACGCAGGAGCTGGTCTGATCCTCGTCGCGAATATACATGGAGCTTCCGCAAGCCGCTCCGGCCGAGTGCACCAGCCATACCTCTCGCGAGCCCAAGCTAAATCATTAGTGTATGGAGAACAAATCCCCATGACACATTCTCATTTAAGACTCTCCTGATAACCAAGCCTAAGTCTATCTCTAAGCCAGTATCTAAAGAATGGTAGAGCTATGGCAAAATCCCCCCCATACAGAGTGGATTGCCAGGATCGCTACCTGTCAAAATATAATCTATCGGGATTCCTATAATCTGTTGCAAGACAATCTTTCCTGCCACCGTGAAACAACCTTCCAACTCGAAATTTACAAAACCCCAGATCATTCCCAAACTTATGAACTGAAAACCATCAACGCTTTCTTGCCTGCTGAATGAGGTGCCTTTCCCTCTCCGTCTAACAAACACACCCCGGAAACCTTTCGACTCGAACCACCAGATGCACCAATCAACAGCTCGCACAATCGTCTCATGCGGGAGTCTACTGAACATATCTTTGATATCGTACTAGCTAGTCGCGATCTGCACATTCTTACAAACATGACGCATATCTGGTTAATCCTAATCAGTCTCCCCCGCAGCTAAGAGACCGACTTCAAGTTGAAATGTTTACTCTCGGGAATTGCAAACAGCATACCATTCAGTGCGCGTGCTATCTTCCTACATGCCGCATTACTTGCCTCACTGAAGGTTGGACAGACCGGTCGTATTTCTCCGTGTCCTTGTGCTTTGGCAAGATGTTGGCTCTACCCAGTCTTCCCACCTTCTTCCAAGGCGCAATCTGATCGAAATTCCCACATTTGTAAGCCGCGTGTGTCAACCCGATAACCTCCTCTTCAGTTTCCTCGCGAGTTACATACCCTTCATTGTGCGTGAAGGTCGCCCTCATTCCTTCAGAATATGCTGCTGGACACATGACCAGTGTGTCCCCTGGATTCCAATCCAGCGGGCAACAGACAAGCCCTCTCAGGTCTTTCCGCAAATGACGCACCACATCTGCATCACCGCTATCTCCAATCCCATCTGCCCTTATGCACGCGTCAACTTCCTCCCTTGTGAATCCAACTTTCCCTATCCTGCTTCCTTACCAACTCAAATCCGCGAAACCATCGGCCACTTCCTTGGACACTCTTGCCGACAGTCCTGCCCTCGCATTCTTCGGTATATTCTTAGCATTTCGGGCTATCGCAGGGCAGCCTTGCCAATCACCGATGCGAAAATGGACGTGCCCTCCCTGTCTAGGGAAGGGCATGCTAGTGCAAATGCACTTAGAGACGCCATCCGCTGCAAAGCGGCGGTGATTATGGATTAGATCGCCCACGTTCGGACTTCTTGTCTAAACAACACAGGCGCGTCTACGCACCATCCTCGCAACAGCCTGATTGATAGGCAGTTCTCCAATTCCCCGCCGCATCAGTTTCACCACTTCGTTCTTCTTAATTCTGTCGTCAAACTCGACCTTCACGACGATTCTTCTTCGAACATTTATCCCAACCCCCCTCCTAAACACATCGGAGATGATTCGCCTTCCCTTCGTCCTACTCCGTTTTTCCGAAAACAGCTTAGCCGCCGCATAGTATTCGACCAGCTCATCCTGTGACTTACTATACAGTCCCTGCGTCTTCCGTTTGTCCTTGAAAATGCCGACCAAGTCCTGCTTCAGCTTCAGTGCTTTCGGTGTAGCCTCGGTCACGTCCCGAACTGTGATCCATCCTTAGGCTTCGAACAACCTTTTACATTTCCGCAACGGTGTAGTACGTTTCCCTACACACACCCGGGACTCGCCGAACATCCGCCGCACAACACGCCAATTGTCAGCCCAGCTACCACCACCGTCCGTCCAGATACGTATCCCAACGCCCCGCGGAGCCTTGGTCAGGCTTCACAACAGGTCGACCACTCGAACCGTCCGTTCACCTCCTTCCCTTCGTAGGGCTATGATCGAACTTTTCCCACACACTCCACTCTCTCTTCCTTTCTTCCCGCCTTCGATCTCTCTCCTTACAACATCCCTCCTCCGTTCACTCCTTCCTCGCCGTCTTCGTTTCCTCGAACGCCACTTCCCTCCTTTCGAGTTCAGGGATGGCGACCATACCCTGATCAGAGTCCGTTCAACGGCCTCTAGTTCTCTTCTGTCCGAGCTAAAGTAAACCGGTATTGCCACGTACGAGTGAACCCCAACCTTGCCTAACCAATTATACAAGTTTCTCGATCGCTTGCTGTCCCCACTCCTTACACACTTCAAGTGCTTAAGCCATCTCTCAGACAGAGTCCTTTCAGTCATACCTATGTATGTTTGCTTAAACCACGAAGAGATAACTACATAAACACAGCTTCGTGGAGATCGAAGGTCCAATCTTCTGAAAAACGCCTCTTGCTTCCATAGTTTTAAGTACTTTTCGCCCCACCGCAATTCTCCCGCTAAAATCAGTCCTAGGACAGCCGCTCTCATTCGCCGTTCGTCATCCCCTTTACACCCATATGACTTGCGTAGCTTGGTCAGTTCGTCGACGCTTCGCTATAGATCATTAGGTCCGTTCCCTCACTCTAAGTCACCTCCTTCGTCCTGTCCTTCGGAACCACTGCCTTTCTGTGTTCTCATCGACCTCCTTGGACACGGTGTGGTAGGCAGCGAAACATTAACAGGATCATACGCCTTGATAGCACGACGCGTCACCAAACGATTAATCGCCAGCTCTCTTCCCGTAAGCGATCCGCTCGTTTTTACAGGCGTCCTTTCATTCGTCTACCGTCAGGGCCTCGTACAGAGCTCGGATCTCCTCTTTGTACTTTGCGCGCGCACCAAGACCAGTTCCCGCAGTCACGTGCTTAATGGACACCCCGATCTTCCCGACTGGTTCAGCGATTGGAGAAGACGTACTCGCCATATGGCCGAAATCGCACAGTTCCTCAATCCTCAATTTTGAAGTCGTGCCCAGGACAGTCCGTTGTCCTTTCGTCGGGGTAGTCATAGGCGGGCTATCACCCACCGCCACTTCCTTGCCCCTCTTACGCTTTTCATTGATCTCCAGTCCTGCCGCCCTCCGTCGCAGCAGGATTAGCTCCGCGTCTTCCTCGGCCTCTTCTCGTAGAGCTATCTCACGTCTTAGCCGCTCTTTTTCTTCCTCGACCGTCTCACCTCTCTCGTTACGCTTGACCACTGCACGTTTCACTCGAGAAGCACTTTCGTTCTCCTTTCCACTTTCGTGACGGATCTCTTCGCGTATCATTCTAAGTAGGCGCGCGTCTTGTTCATCTTCAGCGCATTTCTTTTCCTCCAACTCCTGTAATCTCTTCTTTTCTTGTTCCTTCCTTACCTCCTCTTCCTTGCGTTGTGCTTCTTCTCTCACGGCCCTCTGCTTGGCCTCCTCCCGTTCCTTCGCCTTCTCGAAAAAATACGTCCTCATCATATTGCTCATCTCGTCCATTTCGCGTCTCGATCCGTAATTGTCAGCCGAGTGGCTTCGCTTTTCCGCACCGATTGCCATGGTGCGACCGCTACGCACCAGCGGTGGTGGCGGCGGTACAAAGGGGATACCCTTACCCCGGGCATCCCAGTACTCGTCACAAACATTGGCGAAATGGTCGGGCTTCCCGCAACGAAAGCAGGTACGGCCCGCCATCCTATTCTCCTGACTCCGGAGTGGTGGTCTTCCTCCTACGCTTCCGGTTGATTCATCGGATCTGCCGGAGACCGGGCCACTCTCAGTACTCCCTTGACTCATCCTTGACACTCGCGGTCACCCACGACAGTCTATGCCTCAACCAAAACACCCGCTCGATTCTCTCACAGTCGTCACAATCGAAAATCGTCTTCCTCTTCACTTTATCCGCGAACTTCGCCGCCACCCCCTCTAGGTATGATTGCCTAGCAGGTTACGACGCCAATCAACAAAAAAATTCTCGCGAGAAATGAAAGTTGAAAAAACATTCCATAAAAAAAAAATCCTTCATATTTATAAATTATCATTTCAATGTTCGTCCAATTCTAAAATTTCCAATTCAATTTGATAAGTTCCCTTCTAAATATGAGCCTTCCCTTCCAATTACATCTATTTGTTCAAGATGGAATGGAAGTCTAGACGAGTTTATGAAATATTTTAATTATAATTTTATTCGACTACAACAAAGATCTTCTAATTTAGATTGGATTAACCTATTTATGACTGGAAATCCTTACTTAGAATTACAGTCCAATTAAAATATTTCATGAACTCATCCAGACTTTCATTCCATCTGTAGCATGAAGTTCAAATAAGAAGGGATACCCCATTTTTGGAAGGAAAGTTTTCAAGTAAGATGGGAAATTTTAAAATTGGAATGACATTTTTTAAGATGGAATGAAAATTTGAAATTTAAAATGTAATTTTACTCTAGAATGATTATTTAATTCTGGGAATTTTTTCTGTTGATAGCTAGAAGCAAAGATGACACACGAAACACTTGCAAACGCAAAGATTGCAGAACGCAAGATTGCAAAAGCAAAGTACTCGAGTAGTCTTGGCTCAGAAAATGCCGTAATTAGCGCAATCGCGCAAGACCTCCCGCCAACAGTCCACAACCCCAGGACACCGATCCATCCATCAGGCCCGAAGAGTCACGCATGGCGATGATGACTCCCTTTCGGTGAGGACCGAAGAGGAGTCTAACCGACTTGTCCGCCAGTTAATATACAAAAAGCTCTACGAGCTCCCGGCCTGGTTCGAAAAACAGGCGCGGAGCACGGACCATTCGAAAACACAGAACCACAGCAGAACGAAATTCAAAAAACGAATTCAAAAAACCAAAATTAAAAAAACTTATTATTAACGCCTGACAACCCTGCTTTGCTGTACACAGACCATGTCCGAATGTCCGGACCGCTACTTGGGCTCGGTACCAACTTGTTCCAAGATAAGCAACCTGCTTATTCACGAGAAAAAATCCTCTTTCGATTCCATCGGGAAACGAGCGAGATACGTAATTTCGCCTCTCCTTCTTCCTGGTTCCCGCCATCTCGCGTGCACAACTTTCTTTACTAACCTCCTTCTACACTAATCTATTGCCAAAACTAACGCTACCATTGAATTCGCCTGGTCCAAAACCCCCAGGTTTGCATCTTTCCTCACCCGATTCCATCCGGAAACGAGCGAGATATGAGTTTTCCATTTTCTTCCTTCTTCGTTCCCGCCATAGCTCCGCCCACCAGTTTTCTCTTCCAGCTCCTCAAACATACCTCATACCGCCAAACTGACCCTGCCAATAGATTCGCCCTACATTAAAACCCCAAGTTCGACTCTCGGCTCGCCCTATTCCATCAAGAATCGAGCGAGCTATGTGTTGTACAACCCACCATAGCTACTCTCCCTCTCAGCTCCGCCATTCTACTCCTCGAATGTACCCGATGAGAAATCCCATCCAGGTTCATTCTATTCTCTGCTTCTCTTTTGCTGCATTCGTTCCCTCAGTTGTGCTAGTCACCGCCTCCCATCTGCGCTAATCTGCGCTCTAACCCGGACTCCACAAGGATGGTGTCTAATACCAATAGTAGGACGGTGGTCTTGGAAATTGATATCCGCTAGAGAGTGCGACACAACTTACCACCGAACCAATCAGCCCTGGTTGGACTGAACGAGTGCAGCAGTATCACTGCAACCTTCCTCACAGCGCCTCTGGCCTGCCTGCTTGAGGCCAGGTGGGACGAGTCCCAATGCAGATCTTAGTGGCAGTGGTAGATATCTTGAATGAGAACTTTGGAGACTGAAGCCAGGGCGGGTTCCAAGTGTTCCGCTGCTGCAGTCTACGACCTCTGCCCTGGCGCCCCCATCCCAGTGCGCCCAGGCAAGGCCCACCACCCCTTTTTGTCCAAAGGGCATGCTCCCACACTAACCTCTTACAACAAATGGTGGGCGGCGGACCGCATCCACAGCGAGCCCCGCCACTCTAATTTCTTCCTCCCCGTGGGCTAAATACCGACCGGGTCACATGCAGGTCAAACTCCCCGGTTCGAATTTTAAAGTGCATGGGTAGAGGAATTTGGCCAGCATCCAGAACCCGCAGGAATCCAAGCGGCCCCACCGAAAGAGATGCGGGATCAAGGTTTTTGACTGCCGTAATGGCCACCCGTGCCCGACAAGGTAATAGCCGAGCCAGACCAGTGGGGCCCAACGTCGGTCTCGGAACCGGTCACCGGGTCAAGGACACCCGTAAAAATAAAAGTAGGAGTAGAAATAATAAAAATAATAAAAATAAATAAAAACACGAGGGAACAAAGAAAAAGCAAGGGGTCTAGGGGTCGCACGTCTCGCTGGCGTGCGACGCGGCACACACTCAAACCCGCGCATGGTCGCGCCTTGCCGTCGATACCCCAGGCACGCTGTCAAACGGGCGAAGCTGCACTAGTGTGACTTGCAGGAAACACGCCAAATACCCTTGTAAGGGTATTTGGTATGACAACGGGAACAAAAACTTTTCAACAACAAGTAATAGTTTTTCTTTGGAAAGAAAACTATGAAGAAGATAATGTAATCCTTAGGGTTGCTTGGCGATCCCTCATTCAATCAAAGACAAGATGAAGCATTGGGGTCATTAACGACCATTTCGTCAAAACAAACATATTATATGTTTTGAACGAAATTGAAATTGAGTTTTTGGGCCGAAATCCGGTCCAAATTTTTGGCTCCAGGGGGTCCGCGTTCCGAGAACGCCGAACCCCCTAGATGTATCTGACCTCAAGCTAAGACCAGATACATCTAGAGGGTCCAGCGTTCTCGGAACGCCGGACCCCCCGGAGCCAAAATTTTGGATCGGATTTCGGCCCAAAAACTCAATTTCAATTTCATTCAAAAAATGTAATATGTCCGTTTTGACGAAATGGCTGTTCATTGACCCAACCCTCCACTATTAAACCCTATTAAAAAATTAATTCTATCCTGCGTAGCACGCCGAACGTGTTCGCACCCCTTCACGTTCGGGCGAACGTATTCGCGCGCTCGCGCGAACAGCTTGCGAACATGTTCGGGCGAATGTATTTTTTTTTCCGTAAAAATAAATAAATATTTTTTCGATTTTTGATTTTTAACTCATGATGGGCTACGAATTTGAACACGACTCCAAGGCAAACGTTGCTTGTATTGTTATTTTACATAACATATATTGTTTTCAGATTTTTCTGAGAACGTTTTTGGTTGTTTTTTTTATATATTTTTTATGTTCGCGTTCGGAGGGTTTTGGGCGCTTGTTCACGTTCGGAGGTTCGCCTCCGAACGTGAACACGGTGCTACGTAGGTTCTATCTATTAACAAACCATTACAAGTTTTGGTATTGGAGAAGATTTGAAGGTTCGCCTCTTTATTAGATGATGACATACATCCTCTCACATGATTAGGGGATCGTTTATGATCCGAATGGTTCGCGTCGGAACTTCCAAACTCGCTTTCGGTAATGTGACGTGGAAAACCTCTCCTGCTTCTTCTATAGGCTCTATCGAAGCCCAACGGGTTCCCGGTATCCTCCTTATCATCACCTCGTTCGAGGCGCATACCCCCTTCGGTTAGTCACCTGCTCTTCCCCGAAGAGACGGGCATATGGGACGTCAACAATGTGAGCTCTTACTTCCTCAAAATCTCTCAGCTTCTCGAATATAGGCACTAACTCTCTCCTAGGGGGAGCCCCAGCATCGACACATCGAGTGTAGAGCCAAAATAGCCCTCGCGTTCAAACCCCGGACCATTGCGCGGCCCGAAGTATCTCTACCACGCTCTCCTCCGGGTCCCGCAAGAGCGATCGTACCAGGAAACCGGGCAGGGTTGCGTGAAGAATCTTGGAGGCTCGAGGAACTTCGCCTGGCTCGACGAAGGACACCTGCGTCCACGATTCAAAAGTTTCCTCCTCGTAAACGCTCAAGACCAAATCGTGTGCTACTTTCCTTGCGGACTCACGATACTCCGCATGAGTCTCTAGGCCGGTCACTAAACCCTTTCAAACTTCGGCCCACGAATCCTCGTCGAGGAAGACCGTAGCTTGTACCTCGAGGAACTAACCAAAGTGCGGCGAACCTCCTCTCTGCACTCCCTCCTTCCAGGTGAGTCGGCGTGCCCTAACCCACGCGTAAGCGCCTTCTTTAATAACTCGCCCCTTCTCAACACTCATCCAATAGGGCGTCACGCGAGGGTCCCCGGGGATCAAGACCCAACTCTCCTTACTGACCTCTATTGTCGCCACGACCTCGTTGTCGCTGAGGGCGAATCTGACCATCTACCACGACCGTCTGAACACCCACTCGTAGTAGCCTTTTGGGGAGAGGGTGACAAACCTATCCAGAGACCCAAACCTCCTATAAATCCTCCAGAGCTTTGCTCGAGGAGGGGCCCCGTGACAGACACAGTAGGTGTAAAGTAGCCACAAGGCTCTAAAAGGCAGACCCAAACTCCTCCCTCTTTCTAGGAGCCTCACTATCTTATCCTCGTTTGACCCTAAGAGCACAAAGCTCGGAGCCCTGCCGGTCGCTGGATAACTTGCCCTCGGAAGCTCACCTTCCCGAGCGAATTTTTTCGCTCCTATCGCTACAAAGTTAAATTGCCTCCGGGTCCTAGCTATCCATCTCCTTCTCACCTCTCTCACTTCTTGGAGCAGTAGACCCAACCCACCCCCTTGGCCAAAGACCAGGGGTACTACGATCCTTGCCCAAGCGGCTGGTTCGACGAAGATTATAGCTGTGACTTTGAGACGTATCCAAGTCGCTCTCTCCCTCACC